TCTTTCTTTGTAACTAAAGAATAGCATCAAATTCAAATTTGAGCTTATTCTATGATAATTTCTAAGTGCATCTTTGAATCCAGAAAGGTCATTTGTAGGAGTTCTATTTAACTAACAAGTACCAAAAACTACCACTGAGGTTCTAAGATATAATCTGGACCTCACAAGTTCTGGTCTTAAAATCCATGAGTTTTGGCAAGGATGAAATTGATATTCAACATGAAACAATTTATACTTTAACTGCTACCAAAACCCAGCATAAATTATAGTGTGTATAGCCCAAGCATAATGGTTACAAACTTTCCTAACCTAAAAAGACTGATGATTACAACCTTACATTACACAGTCCCTCTACTTCTACTAAATACAAGATGCCAATTCTTTCCTCTCCATTATACTAATTCAACAAATCATAAATCTGGTCCTGTCTTCTTTTGTAGGGACATCAACCCCCAATTTATTTATTTATTTATTTATTTATTTATTTATTTATTTATTTATTTATTTGGTCTTTTTGAGACAGGGTATCCCTGTAGCCCCAGCTGTCCTGGAACTCACTATGTACACCAGGCTGGCCTTGAACTCACAGAGATCCGCCTGCCTCTGCCTCCCAAGTGCTGGGACTACAGGCGTGTGCCACCACGCCCGGCTCATCAACCCAAAATTTAACAAGTGATTACCACATAAAAGTCTTTAAGGGGCACACACACTCAAAAATCTCTTTCCATTACCACCACTTAGTTGAGACCTTTAAGTATCATGTCTGATTGGTACAGAATTGTAAGTGGAATCAAAGATGCCTTGATTTCCTCCCTGAAACCAGTCAGCACACCTCCTCTATGTTAATCCTCTTTAAGTGCTATTTCCTCACGTACCTGAGGTCATCCAACTACTCAACAAATCCAAATGCTACTAAATAACAATTCCTAACTTGCTATGAAATAACCTGGTTTAAATATACCTTCCCAGTATCAATTCCTATATTCACACTTCTGTGACCTCTGGTAAACTGGGTTGCCTGCTGTTTTCCCAATGTACTTTGAGCTTTCCTAGTCAGACATACCTGAACTGCCTCCTTTTTGCATCTTCATGTAACCTGAGCAATCTAGAATCCCACCCATCCTTCTGGGCTCAGCTAAAACGCTACAATGTTCAAAAAGTCTTTCTTGCCTGGCAAGCCTGATAAATCATTTCTTGCCAGTCAGGAGTAGAGTAGCACTTTGGCATTCAGCAGAGCTTGCATTACATTTATTTAGAGTCATAGCCTAAAGCTCTACCTTGGAATGATGTAGAACCTTTCAGATTCAATAAATTCTCAGTAACTGGGTGACCATATAATAATACTGTCCATACTCTGACAATTCTCAGAGTTAAAGAAGGTACTTTTTAATTATCTTGCAATGACAGAAATAAACTAAGATTAACTCAAATCTACCAGATGCATGGTTATCTTACCAAAATGATAAAGCTGACCAACCTTGTCAATAAGTGTAACTATAATACTGCCTTAAAAGTCTGATTTTGAAATTAAGGTAAATGGAAAAGAAAAAAAAAAGTCGACTTTTTGCTTTAGACATATTAAAACAGCATAATTTTGAAATTGAGAAATCTAGTTATCAGCTCTTTTATGTGAACTTAATTTAACACAAGTCACTTAGCTCAATCTCCAAGTCAGCTAAACTAAATATTCAAATCTGTAAGGTCTATTCTAGCTAGACTCTGATTTTTATAACCCCCCTCCTTAACAGTCTGCATAGTGGGGTCTTTTATCAAATAGTTGGGAATCTCTGCTCACATAGCACATGCATTCAGTAAAACACCTGGTATAACAAATTTGTTTTTTTTGTTTATTTTTGAGGCAATGTTGCTATTTATCTCCAGCTGATCTATGTGGCCCAGGATGACCTCCAACTTGCAGCAATCCTCCTGCCTGAACCTCAAATTCTGGGATTAGAGGTGTGATCCACCATGCCTAGCTCAAAGTTGCTTTTAATCTTTTAATAAATTATACTTTTAGGGGTTGGGTTCCCAGCACATACACTGGGTGGCTCACAACCACCTGTAACTCCAGTTCCAGGGGATCTGACACCCTCTTCTGGCCTCCATCACTCATATACAGAAAATGAGAAAGGTCCTAGATAAAATAATCATAATTAAAAATTTAAATCAGTTATTTTGAGTTAAACTTTTCCTAAAGTTGTAATTACTTGCATAAAAAGAAAATAACTGATTAGAATTTATTTTTTGATCAATGCTAACCTTAACAAGTACTAGTGCTTTAGATTTAAAATATTCCATTAATGACTAACAATTTCCTGCTACCTAGACAACTTTTAATCATGCCAAGCCATTAGTCACTTATTCCAGAACTTCTATTATTCAAAAACCTCAGATATTTTATGGAATTTTTGACAAACACTTCAGCCAAATAAAATGCAAAAAAACAAAAAAACCATGATGCTTAGTATGTACCCTTATCTATCATGACCATGATATCCTAAAAGTCATTTAATGGACTGGTAAAGTATGACTTTCCTTTACCTAAAACAAGTTCATGTGATTCCCTTTTCATCAGCCCTTCTTCCCTTTGCAACTAAAAACCGCCAGTTATCAGATCTAGTATCACAGGACATTAAAAAAGAAAAAGCATATATTTGTGGGTTTTTTTTTTTTTAATTTTTGGTCTTTTTGAGACAGGGTCTCCTTGTAGCCCCAGCTGTCCTGGAACTCACTATGTAGACCAGGCTGGTCTTGAACTCACAGAGATCTGCCTGCCTCTGCCTCCCAAGTGCTGGGATTAAAGGTGTGTGCCACCACGCCCGGCCCTATGTTTGTGTTTTTTACATTCCAGTCTTACATGAAAATTTTGGAAGCAATTTTTAATTCAAACTGACAGGAAGAAAGGCCAATAAAAGTTCCTTTATAAAATAGTTCCTTTATAAAATAAAAATAGTTTTATAAATATAAAAATTTATAACTATTAAAATAGTTACAAATTAGTTCCTTTATAAAATAAAACCTTCCCTCAGGTTTTGCTATTTTTAAAATAACCTGCAATAATTTCTTTTCCTTTGAGATACAGTCTCCCTGTATAGCCCAGATTGGCCTAGAATTCACAATCTTTCTGACTCTGCCTTTCAAGTGCTAAGATAATAGGTATGTAGCATCACATCAAGCCACTTAGCTATAATAATTTAAATAATTTTTTGAAAATATCAAATAGACAATTTTTTAAAACAGATATTCATTTGAAATGGTATCATATAAAAGTAATTTTATTTTAGGGTGAATTAAATATTTTAAAAGATACAAAATCCTCTAAAATCAAGAGCAGCTATTGCCAAATGTGGTGGTGTACACTGAAGCTGGAAGCAGGTGATCTTGAGGCCAACCTGGGTTACATAGTCAGACTACATCTCAAAAACAAGCCAAAACCCCAAATCAAAATAAGTAACAACAAAAGAGCGGTTATTACTGAAAATACACACAAAGGGTAAAGATACAAACCTAATCACATCCTAGCCAGTCATCTCAAAGTAATATTCATTTAAAATGTTAAAAAAACATTTCACTCAGAAATTGTTCATTTCTCCTACTATGAGTTTCATGCAATGAATATTCTCCACTTCTGTTCTGAGGTCTTCACTTCATTTGCATTTCTAAAGGATACTTTTACTGGGTATATAATTTGGCTTGCTATTTAAAAATTTTTATTTATTATTTTTATTTTATGTGTATGTTTGTATTGCCTGCATGTAGGTAAGTGCACCTGTGTCACGCAATGCCCAAGGTCAGAAGAGGCTACTGGATCCCCTGGGACTGGAGTTACAGACAATTAGCTGTCATGTGGGTGCTGGGATTTGAACCTGGGTCTTCTGCAAGAACAACCAGTGTTCTTAACCACTGAGCCATCTCTCCAGCCTCTGGCTTGCTTTTGTAAAGGGTGTTTAATTTTGTTTAAAAATTCTGCTGTATTTCTTATCTTTGTCCCTCTACAGGTAAATGTCTTTCTTTTTTAAGTCCAAGACTTTTCTTCATTTGGTCTCTAGCAAAATTCAAATTTCTCTACAAATAGACTACCTGTGCTATGTATTTGGAAGACGTTTTTCTCAATGATCCTTCTTTCCTTTTGGCTTTCAATTGTTCCTGGACACGCTCATCATGGGGATTTCCTTTCATACTTCTCAAGCAGAGAAAGGCTTTGTGTCTGGGTGCTAGATTGGAGCAGATGCAATTCTTGGCTGTCTTAGCCCAGTCCTTCCAATGGCAACCCAAATCTGCTTTGTACTGTGTTCATCTCAGGTGGGAGTTTTCTATTCTGCACCTAGCAGTGAAATACCTCTTGGTAACAGTGACTTTAGGAGCCCCCAATTATTTTCCAAACCAGTTTCAGAAATACAGATTTTTCTTCGATCCTTCCCCTCAGCAAGACTGGGTTTTTATCTGTGTTGTTTATCCAGAGTTTCTTCCAAGGACTAGAGATGTAGTTCAGTGGTAGAGCAATTACCTAGTGTATGCAATGCTCTATGTTCAAGCCTTAGTATTCCCCCTTTCCCCATCCAATATATGTGTGTGTGTGTGTGTGTGTGTGTGAGAGAGAGAGAGAGAGAGAGAGAGAGAGAGAGAGAGAGAGAGAGAGAGAGAGACAGACAGACAGACAGAGGTCTCTCCCCACAGGACAAGAGCTTAGCTTCTAAATGTCCCCCAGAAATATATAAAATAAAAAGATTTTCTGTTCTTCTTCTACTAGTTGGAGGCTTACAGGATGATCTGAGTAAATGTGAAGAACTGGTGTCTATCTCCCAGCAGAGCAGAATACCTCCTTAATTTCTAGACCCCAGAAACAGCTCTGAGCTCCCCTACCTTGCTTCTTCTCAATTGGAAGTACTATGTAGAACACAAGGAAAATGCATTTGCAAGTAAATGTGAGGTTCCCTGGTATATAGGTCCCCTATATATTCTGAACTAGTTCATACTTGGCCTTTAACATTTAAGTTAATTAAAAAATATGAAAGTTTACAAATTTTTGTGTCATCCTTATGCAGAAATCATGCCGATCTTCTCTGTATTGTTCCAATTTTAGTGTATGTGCTGCCAGAGCAAGCAACAATTAGTTAAAATTTTAAGGGTTATATTTTTGGTCCACATTTCTGGCAACCACTTCTTTCTCCTCTGCTATGCCAATGACGAAGCAATTCATGTAACCCGATCCTTGGGGTGTGGGGCAGAAAAACTTGTTCTTTTTGGAGTTTACATTAATTAGTTCCTTTATAAGCTCAGCTCTCTGGTGGACTCAAGAGAAGGCGAAATTCTGTAGTATTAAGGTTTTTCTTATGGTGAGAGGAGATAGTTCTGTGTCTTCCATTCTTTCCTTTTGTTGAGGCAGAGTCTTGCTATGTATCCCACACTGGCCTGAACTCAGAATCTTCCTGCCTCAGCCTCCAAGTGCAGGTACCACCACACTCAGCTTACAGACTTTTTACATACTGAGTAGAAACAGAAACCCCTTTCTACTTTGACTTGCCTTCCTTTTCTATTTTTGCGGAGTCTGATTATCACTGCTCTAATCACCAGATAAAATCTTGGGAGTATCCTGACTTTTCTGTAATGTTTAATTTTCAATCTGCTGATAATAATGAATCAGATAGGTCACTAATATCTCATTATCAGGGTCATCTTTGTCCATGTGTCTAGTACATGAACTTACCATCTCACAAGGGGCTCATAACAAGTCTGTACTCTGCCTTCCTTAATTTGACCTGACTTTGTCACCAGAATACCTTACTACTACTACTGCATTGTTTTGATTTTTAGTCATAGCCATTATCAGTATGAATCTCTTCTGCATTTACAAAGGGCATGTTCCTACAGGGATAAATTCCATTTCTATATTGATCTATATTCTCTTTCTAATCAACAGCTGAGCAACATAGCTGGCCCAACATTTGGAAATCTTATCACAGAAAGCCTGTCAGAAAGGGACATATTAATGAAATAAATTCCCTTGCACAGCATTTCTCTCTTCTGAGTTGTATGCTGCTTTATTTGTATCATTAAACATGAAAGTAACCCCACTAAAGTTGTATATCTTTCTTACATTCTTTACTGTATTACCAATTCCATAAAGGCAGAGATCAAGTCTTATAAATTTGCAATATTCTGAAACTCTTTTAGCTTTTAAAAGTCAGGCATGTGGCAACTGCCTATTATCCTAGCCCTTGAGAGACTGAAGTGAGAGAATCACTTAAACCAAGTGAATTTAAGATCTGGGCAACATGGTAAGATTCTATCTCAAAAATTATTAAGTAAATAAAAAATAAAATAGCAAAAAGGGGGAATCCAACTTAATAAACATGACATGTACTTTCCCTCTTGTAATCAATGAGTCATCAGAGCATCCTCAATATGATCACACACACACAAAAAAATTCCCAAGGCTCATATATGCTGTTCTTAAAACCAGAGAATACATACTATCACTGAAATTTCACACCCCCAAGCAGATTCAAAGGAAAGCCCAACTGGGATTAGCTAACCATTTATACTGTTAATTAAGATATATAATAGTAATTCTAAATACAAATAGCCTGAAGTCCCTTTGCTTAGTTGGATATAGATAAATACTAAGACAGTATGACTAAGGAAGTCACTGCCATTAGTACAAAGAAACAAGCCAATCTGCCTCATTTTCAGCGGGTACCTTTTTTGGTTGTTTTGGTTTTGCAAACACTGAAAGGTGACTAAAATAATTTCCAATGAACAGGGCAAGTTATAATCACAAACGTAAGATGAAAAGGCTGTTCAAATTTAGTATCTTTTATAAGCAGTATTCTCAAGTATATTTTTTAAAAAGCAGCATTTACAAATCCTAAATGTTATTTCAGTGAAAAATAACTACCATCTTTGCCAATTAGCTTCTCTGGCCAAACTATAGTTGTAAAAGAAGTATTTCCTGGAACTACACTGGTACTTGATCATATCTAACTAAAATATGAGATGATAAAATGCTACCTTTGTCATGCATTTAGGAGAAGTGCTTAAAAGAAAAAAATTATGTTAGTTACTAACATAATGGTTATCCTTACCAATGTAACACAGAACTGTTATCCAACAATTAAACTTTTAGTACTTTAGTATGAGAAAATAATCAATAAAAAGATTCAATATAACACTGCTCATATTAGGAAAAAATAGGAGACATTTCATTAAGCAACAGGGAATTAATTATATAAAACTGTGTATATATTCTATTCAAGAACAAACCATATTGACACAGATCTATACCAAACAGCATGGAAAGATAACCTTGGAGTGCTGTTGCAAGAAAACAGACCATTAGAAAACCATATACATATCTGTGTGCACTCCTATGCAATGCTCCTAGGTGGTAGGATTTGGAGTATGTCATCAAATTAATGCCTCCCAACTCCAAATTCAGGTTTCACTGTCTGCTCTACAGAATGGAGCCAGGCCCTTTTTTTCTTTTCTCAGCTGGCACATGTGTTAAACATTATCATCTCCAACACCTGAAACACCAAATACAGAAGAGAGGAACTTCCTTCTGGGCTCCAGTGTCCTGCCTTGGCAGGTACCTGTAGCCAATACCTTTCCCCAACATCCAATCCCTTGGGTGGTTTTGCAGAAAAATATCTATGATGAGATAACAACTTAGGGTCACCTTTTCTCAGACCCTAAAAAGTGAATTTTAAGTTTTAACAGCAAAGCATCACATCAACTTCTCTGCCATTTAGTAAACCACAGCTATACCCTCTCTAACAATGTCTAGATCTCAGCTTTAGCAGAAGGTCTTCCCCAACAGACCCATCTAGACATAAGGGTTATAGCTGTTTGTTCTATCTGCCAATGATATTTTTTAGAGGTCTTTTCTTACTAGGTAAATCCTTGTTATTCCAATCTTCTAGAATTAATAATTAATTTACATGAAGTTTCCCGGCTCAAATTTATAGTGATTTTCCTGATTTGATTCTACTTTTTCTAATTTTCAATGTTGATTCAATTAAAAAAAATAATCATGGGCATTTTTATGATAATCACAAAGGGCACATTAATTTTATTTTGGGAAAACAAGAAAAGTTTAGTGCAAAGTAAACATTAAGCTCTTTCTTATATAAGGCAGAAATTCATCTGTGAGATTAAAATGAATGGATTCTGAAAAACATTTATTCACATGAGACTTTTTCAGTTTTCCTTAATATCAACTTCTTTTTCATTATCTGAAAATGTATCTCTAGATAATTTTAGGTATAGAAATTTCTTAGACCACTGCTCTTTTTCTCCTAGTTATGCCATATGCTGGGCTTTACAAACAAGCCAACATTCATGAGGCATCTCAGAGTGACAGTACCTCCAACACACAGCCTCCTTCAGCTTACTGCTGCTCCCCTCTTACCATGCTCAAGGATAATCAGCTGAGCTCCAGCTTGTGCATTTCCAACATCATTCTCGGCAATGCATTGATAGAACCCTTCATCTGATTTCACCAGACCCAAAACTTGAAGATTATGTTCCTTCTAAAGAAGAAAAACATACATAATTTTTTTTTTTTTTTTTACTTAATTGAAACTCTTAAGGCTATGTTCTTGGAGAGGAAGAGGGAAAAAACAAGTACTATTTTGATTCAGTTACTGAATACAATCTACTTATATACTGGTGAATTCAACTTTATGTTAGAGTATTGGCAAGGTACTGACTTAACTGTCTAGAATAATACACACTACCACTAACACTAAAGAAATTAACACCTACTGTTGGCAAACGCACACACGTGCCTGGAAAAAAAAATTCTAGCAAGCAATATAATGTGACCATCATGACAGCCTGAATTCGTGACTTTGTTTTCCTGAGGCTATTCTAACTCAAACAATGCCATAAATACTTGCTTTCTCTAGACTATAAAGCATTACATGAATGTCAACTATTGTTATTAGTATAAATATGACTTAAAATTTTGAAAAGTATGTGCAAATACTGATAAAATAAAAATGCTAATTTAGTCACAACTGGTTGCTTTTCAATAGAATTATTTTTTGTGAACATGAAATTATGCATTTTAGAAACAAAAAAATACAGTCTCACTAAAAATGAATTACTTTTATGACAAATCTGTAATGATACTGTCTTTAACAAACATAACTTTTTAATGAGTATCATGAATAGATCTTAAGATAGGCCATTGATACTTATTACCAAAACTTAATTATGCTACTAGGGTATTAGATAAGGGTAATATTAGTAGGTAATATCTACTGCACACTTACTACATAGAAAGTAAAGAGCAATTATGGCTGAGAATTCTTAAATACATTTAACACTTTATGTGTGTGTGCATGTTCAGGTTATGTGTGGGTATGTGCACAACTCACAAGTCAACCCTGGTGCTGTCCTCAGGAACTATCCATCTTGTTTTATGAGGCAAGTTCTCTCACTGGGACTTGGGGCTCACTGATGAGGCCAGGCTAGCTGATCAGTGAGACCCAGGGATCCACTTGTCTCCACCTCCCCAGTGTTGGCATTGCAAGCACAAGCCTTTGCCCCTGGCCTTTTATGTGGGTTTATTCTAGTGATCAAATTTGGGTCCTCATGCTTGTGTGGCAAGCACTTTATGGACTGAGCTATCTACCGTGCCACATTTAACACCTTCTGCATTTACAATTTTGCTATGTTTTGTATGTTTTGAGACAGCTAGCTCCAGCTGGCCTACCACAGAGATCTACCTGCCACTGCTTCCCAAGTGCTGGGATTAAAGGCATGCACCACCATACTCAGCCATTTTTGCTACTGTTTTGAAGAGAACCTCAATTCCTGGTCTAGCTTCAAGCTTACTATCCTCCTGCCTTCACCTCCCAAGTTACAGGCAAACATCACCACGCTTGTATTTACTTTAAAAATTCCTTCAACCAGTATGTAGGAATTAAACTAAAGGGTATCACGTGATGATGATGCATTTGCTTTCTAAAAGAGTCTTTGTTGTTACAACTGTCTAGCACTGATCATTCTTATATTGAAGGGTCTGGGCATCAATATATGATTTTTGGCCAAGTTTTGTACAGTCTGTTGTGTAATCAACTGGCAAACTTTTCAAA